TGTGTGTGTGTGTGTGTGTGTGTGTGTGTGTGTGTGTGTGTGTTTCTCCTGAATAAAATATCAGGACCCAAAATCTAAGGTATAAAAATGCAGTAAACTGAGTTCCTTACATTAAAATGTTGGAAACTAAATCTCTTCTGAAAATTTTGGAAAGCATGCTCATCATCTATGTCTTAGAACATAATTTAGTGTTGTAGTCAAATATGTCTTCTTCCTAAGTAATCTTCTTCCTAAGTATATTTCCTCCAGTAATATTTGCTTAATTCCTTCTCCATTAGAAAAGTGGAAAATTTAAAAATGCTCTTCAATTTAAATTTTGTTATAGTTGATATGTAAAAATAAGTCATTTTATATCAACCGTGACAACTGAGGCACGCACATACACAAATATATTTAACATCTAAAATTATATTTTCAGCAATGCCTTGGTGACAGAAATTTTGTGTATTTGGTTAAAGAGTGGGGAAGAGCAATAAGTAAAATTCTTTAAGTAATACTCTTTTCTTAAAAATAAGACTTTTTAAAAACAGGCTCTGACTTTTCTCTTTCAGTCTCAGATGTTGGAATGTTTGATGCCCAAAGCAGAGTTTAAGTGTTCTTTTTTTTTTATTTCCAAAGTAGTGGAGTTCTATTTTGCTTCACTACAAATTTACGCTTGTGCAGTCTGAAAAAATGTGAATCTATAAGCTTGGAAATATAAGTGAATTTAGGTACTAATCTATGTTTCTTCTTTTACAGTCAAAAAAGATCCAAGCCCAACTAAAGGAACTTCGTTATGGGAAGAAGGATTTGTTATTTAAGGTGAGCATCCTTTTCTCTCCTCCAAGTTCCTAGCTCAATATCTAAACTTTCAAAACCGTTATTTAGCTTAAACTTTATTTCTATACTTTGTCAAGAACTAGAGTTGCAAGCTAAAGCACTGAAGATACTTTAATGTTCTTGCTCACTTAATGTAGATAAATATAATTTCTTTTGTACATTTCTTATTAAATGCATATGTTGTTACAAAGTATTTCCTTTTCAATCCCAGTTACTTTAATTCAATATGGGGAAAATATTGTTTTTGCAAAGTTTGTACACATTAAGCAAAATCCAAAGAAGTTTTCCAGTGACCTAGACTCTTGATTTTCAGAAGTTCCTAAAGATACTAAGAGTCCACATATTTCATTATGATTGCTTGGTTTTGGACTGATACTCTCATTACAAAACTACCTGGTCAAATCCTATGAATAATTAGGAATCTGACACAACCTATATATACAGTGGACTGGATAATGGTCTCGCAGAGACATTCCAATCTTAATTCCCAGAATTGGTGAGTATTTTCTTACAGGCAAAAGATATTTTGTAGGCGTGACTAAGTTAAATTTCTTTTATACATAAAACTTAAATATTTGTTTTTAGTTGCTAATGAACCTTTATTTTATTTTAAACTTAACTATAAACATATTTGTATATACGTGGTGCTGAGAATGGAACCCGATGCCTCACACATGCAAGGTAAGTGCTTTACCATAGAGCCACAACCCCAGCCCCAAGTTAAGATTCTTGAGATGAAAAAAATTATCTTTATTATCTAGTTAAGCAGTAATTTAACTATATGAATTCTTATAAGAATGAGGCAATAAAGGTAAAGAAAACATTTGTTTACAAAAGCAGTAGAAGCGAAGATAAAGAAAAAGAGTCTCCCTAGCCTCCAGAAAGAAGCTACCATGCCAACACTGGACTTTTATTCCAAAAAATTCATTTCAGACTCTTGATCTTGAAACTTATAGGACAACAAATTTGGGTTATCTTAAGCCACTAAGTTTGTGGTAATTTGTTATAACAGCAAAGAAAAATGAATACAGATAATTTCTTGTTCCCCTTTGATCAGGGGTGATGGAAGTCAGATATTTTTTTTTGTCCATTTTATTTTTTATTGATTTTTTAAAAAAATAAATGACAGCGAAATGCATTACAATTCTTATTACACATATATAGCACAATTTTTCATATCTGGTTTTATATAAAGTATGTTAATACTAATTTGTGTCTTCATACATGTACTTTGTTTTTTTTTTAATTTTTATTATTAGTTGTTCAAGAGATTACATAGTTCTTGACATATCATATTTCATACATTTGATTCAAGTGGGTTATGAACTCCCATTTTTACCCCATATATAGATTATAGAATCACATCGGTTACACATCCATGTTTTTACATACTGCCATACTAGTGTCTGTTGTATTCTGCTGCCTTTCCTATCCTCTACTATCCCCCCTCCCCTCCCATCCCCTCCCATTTTCTCTCTCTACTCCATCTACTGTAATTTGTTTCTCCCCCTTGTTCTTTATTTCCCTTTCCCCTCACTTCCTCTTATATGTAATTTTATATAACAATGAGGGTCTCCTTCTATTTCCATGCAATTTCCCTTCTCTCTCCCTTTCTCTCCCACCTCTTGTCCCTGTTTAATGTTAATCTTCTTCTCATGCTCTTCCTCCCTGCTCTGTTCTTAGTTGTTCTCCTTATATCAAAGA